GTGTATGTGGCTGGCGCCTTAGCCACTTGACCCACAGGCACTGAGCCTGTTTTCCAATTTTTAAAAAAAACAAGTGACTTTTCTTTATTTCATCAGCACAAATTTCCCAAGAGTGAAGCCGTTTCCGGGAAAGGGGACTATTCCTTCTGATCCTCATGCCACTTGAACCCCCCTTTCCTGGGGTCTCTGGATGCTTGGAAGAGACGCCTGTGCCCCAAGCATGCCCCCTGCGCCCCTCTGCTTGCCCCCCACGTGCCCCCCACACTCCCAACTTGCCCTCCAGTGCAGGAGGCAGTTAAGAGGAATTCATTTCTCCTTTTCTTTCTTCTCCGTAGGCCGGCCGCACGGCTTTGTCCATCGTTCTGAAATCACCCACCCATATGGAAATCGCAGCGCTTCTTCAGGCCCACGGGGAGCAGGGCAGGTCCCTGGGGCCTTAGTGGCCGCAGAACTGGCAGCTGGGAACAAAAGCCTCCTTTTCTGGATTCCTCCTGCACCCTTGCAGAGGTTAGGGGTCACGGCCAGAGGGCCGCCCCTCCAGAGAAGAAACTATTTCAGATATGCACAGGCATTCCTGGAGTGATTCTGCTTGTTAGGGCGCTTTGTAGTTTTTGCCTTACGCCAAACCCCAAAACTACACGGGCTTCAGAACAGGGTTCAAGGTTCAAGGTGCGGGCTGCACTGCTGTCATCCCGGAGTCCCAAATGCCTTCAGCCTTGGGTTCCTGGTAACCTATCCACTGTAGCCCCGTGTAGCAGGCAGGCAGGCAGGGGGGCATTAGCACATCAGAAAAGCAATAGTTTGTACAGGAGTTTGAAAGTGCACTGTCTTTTTGTTTTTTAATCAAGCCTGTATGAATATGTCCCGTTGAATAAGTACATCTGGAAAGGGTGGGAGGGGATGTAAGCCGCCCACCTGGCGCTCACTCTCTGGAGACCACAGAGAATCGCCATGCAGTAAACAAGCTCCATTTGGGGCTTTGTTAAGCCGGGGTTGGCAGAGAAATCTTAAGAGGTAGGACAGAGCATGTGGGTGTCACTGCTAGAGGTACAGTCTTGACCATTTCTAAGCCATCGAGTGGCTCCAGTTTGCTCCAGGGAAATTGGATTAAATTTAAAACTTCAATCCGATAATTTACACCACACATATTTAAGCACACTCCAATTCTCTCAGCTGTTCAGAACCTGTGAAAGCAAAGAACGAATCAGAGCAGGCTTCCTCCCAGGGAGAGTTGTTGTCACCTAGCAGCTGGCACATTTCCTCCATAGCCCTGGGGTAGTCCCCTGACGTCCGCAGGAGCAGATACCTGCTCTGAGGGCCGTCCGGCCTGGCTGCAGCAGAGCCTGGGAGCCAGGCAGGGCCCTGGCTCCACTGACGGTTCTCCACTGGGCAGCCCTTTCTGACGCTTCCATGCTCCCTGCACGTGCCTGGTTCACATCCAGGGGCTCACCCAGGGCAATCTGAATCTGTTCCTTCTGAGCACATTACCTGCCATGTGGGTTGTGTTTGAGCCCAGGCCTTGTGAAGCATATATAACTCACGTGTCTCTCAACCTATCTTGATGTAATGAAACACTATGGCCCCACAGAAAGACACTTTTTCTAGTGTGGAATTCAGTGTGTTAAAATCTCTTAGGCAGGGCTGTGGCCATATACACCGAGGCTGACATGTTCGAAACCAGCCTGGGCCTGCTAAACAATGACAACTGCAACTAAAAAATA